GATCTGCTGAAAATCCTTCCAGCTTTCATCAACTCTGGATGTCCTTTCCCACCCTATTTCCATGTGCCTGGGAGCCACGTGAGCCCCCAAGCAGCTTCCCCCACCTCCTCCCAAGAGGCTGCTTCTCCTGCAAGGGCAAGAGGGACACCCTGACCCGCAAGGTGGGGTGGGATGTCCCTGCACCAGGGGTGCTCCCCGTGTCTCAGACCCGGGTGATGTCCCCACAGACATTTCTGCAGCCAACCAAAGCTGCCATGAGATGAGTCAGGGCTGGCTGCAACCCCCCCTCCTCCCCGCTGCTTGCAGGAACAGCGTTAAGGGAAGAAATGCAAAAGGCTTTGATGGAAGGAGCAGAGCCCGAGGCAGCCTGGCACAGGCTGTGCCCTCCTCCACTGCCGCTGGCTGGGCTGAGAGCTGGGGTTTTGTATCAAGCCTGCAGGAACTGAGTTTTCCTAGGAGTTTCTGACCTTGCTTGCAGTTGTCCAAGGGGGTTTGAGCATGCCAGAGTGCTGGCAGGATAATTTTTCTGTAGGAAACTGTAACACAAGGCTTCTTGTTCTGCCTCCTCTGAGCCTCCCTGCCAAAGCGTAGGGGCTGGAAAGCTTTCCCAGGCAGCACGCTGCCCCTGGCATCGTGTCCAGTGGGAACCAAGGCTGAGAAATTGGCTTTTTTCAGAGCCAGGGGCTGCTGAGGCTGCAGCAGATGCTCCCAGCCTGAGCAGCTGCCTTTGCCCATCTCCCCGGGGCTCCTGTGTGGTGACCTTGGCAGGTGCCAGGCAGTGACTTGAGCTCCTGGAGGACAACCCATCTGCACGGGGCACTGCTGCCTGGCAGCCAGTGCTGCCTGGGCAGCCTCCGTGGTACAAGGATGGGTGGGAGCAGTGCAAACTCGCTGGGGAGATTCTCAGCGCTGCCTCAGTTTCCCCAGGCTCACTAGCAGCGCTCAGGGGAGGAGCAGAAACCTGTCCTTAGGTCTCACAGGCCTTATGAATGCATAGGCCATGTCCTGTGTCCCCACGCTGGCACTCTGGTGTGCGCCAGCCCCTGCTGTGCCCCACTGGGTGGCTTATCCTATGTCTGCCCAGGAAGGAAGGGGTTAAAATGCCCGGATTTCCTGAGTGTGGTGCTGGAAGGGAAGGTGACCTGCAGAAGTGATTAGAGGGAAGGTGACCCGCGGAACTGCTTTGCAAGGCACGTTCTGGTGTCGGGAAAGTCCTGAGTGAGACTGAACTAGAAATCCAGCCAGAATTCGGTCTTTTCAGCCAAAATTTAAGCGCTTAAGCGACTCCTTTCTCCACACACCCCCAGCCTCCTCCTCCTGCGGGCTGCCTGATTTATTCACGACATCCTTGCCCCGCTGCAGTGCTGCCACGTGCCCACGATAACACCCAGGGGCGAGAGGGCAAAGAGCTGCGGCTCAAAGGTGGAAGCTCCTTGGCAGCACCGTGTCTCTGCGGGCTGGGGGAGCCTTTCACAGCCCCGGGGCTTGGTGACAGTGGCTGGAAAAGGCAAAGCTTTGTTCTTCGTGCTCGGGCTGGCAATCTGAGGGCACGGGGCAGTGCTGGGGGTGACACAGACTGGTCCCCTGGGAGATGCCAGGGGTAGGGGGTTTTGGGATGCTCAGGAGGAATGTGCTGCACCCCTCCTCCCACGGCTTCTGTGGCATGATGGGGCTGCTTGTAGGGTGATTTGACTTTTATTGGATTTCCTCACCGGTGCTTTCTCTGTGCTAATCTGCTTCCACCCGCTCCAGGAGCGCTAGAAGGGGAGCTGGGGGAAAAGACCACCCCATTCCAGCTGCACAAGCCAGGTCGGCGGGATGGACCCGACCCTGCTCCCTCTGGCCCCAGGGCTGCTCTTGCTGCTTTCTGCAGCAGCTGTGTGGCTGATTCCTAAAGCCAGGAGCTCCCTCCCATCCCCCCCGGTGAGGCCGAGGCTGCGGAGGAAGGAAGTGGTGTCTTCTCTCCAAAACAACTCGCTCTGCTCTTGGCTGTTGCAGGTACCCGCTGCATGGAGGAAGCCACTCACTGCTGCCACAGCCCTCCCCATCCCCTGCCCTGACGCCACCGTGGCTGGGTGACACCGTGGCTCTG